GGGCTCCAGGTGGGTCTCCCGTCAAAAAGCAAACTGGTATGCAAATGAGTGTATTCCGCTAGATGCCTTTCGATTGCGAGTACAGGTAGGCTACCAATAACAGCCTTGTTCTTCAGATCCGGTTTAAGGAGTTGGGACGTGTTTGGCAATGTACGCTGGTTCAATTTGGACAGTTCGATTTAGACGCTAAAGGGGAATAACCATTTGACTGATCCAATCCGTGGAACTTGTTAACTTTTTTCAAAGATGTCTATATCTTGATCAGGCCTGCTGACTACTAGTTCAATGTTTTGCATAGCAAGCTCAATTCATTACTGAGTTTCGACATTCTTAGGTCCTTGCGTTCTTCCTTACGTCATATGTTTGTGAACGCTGCAACGTTTCGAATTATGGGTGCGGGGATTTTCCGGTCTGCTCGTCCAGTTTGGAAATCATACTGCAAACGTTTCGCCATCGATCACAGTGGCAACGGCTGTGCACCGCTGACTTGGTACTTCATCTTTTTTTATCCAAGTGTTTAAAAATTCTGCCGCAGTTTGACGGTTGTGTGATGAGTTTCATGTAACTTGATTGGTTGGTGTATAAGTCTGAATTGCGTGGTGGTCCAATATCTCTGCAACTGATTGGTTCGCTAAATGCCCTTGATTCAGTTGTTCTTCTCCTTCATTTTGGCTGTTTCGTTTGTTAGCTGCGTTGTGGTCTAGCTTGCTTGACTGATTAGATAACCTTCCGTTTCCAGCAGTTTTCTCTTCTTAGTTTAATTTCAACGATGAATTTATTCTTGTCTGCTTATCGACAGTCACAGAGCATACACAAAAGCACAAGTACATTTCAACTATACCAGTGTGGAAACACTAACTGATATCCCATGAAGTCTGTGAGGGTCTTTGAGCGAAGCAGAGTGCTTTTTCGGTTCGAACCGGACTAAGTCTGATCTCAGTACCTTAGTGCGGATATTTTTGTAGACTGGAAAGTACTGAACGTACCACAAGTACGATTAACCTAAGTCGAACGAACTCCAAAATACAGTAGTGCGCAACACGAAATGCATTGAAGAAATCAATCCAAGGGTGTCCAACAACTCAGTAACTGTTCAACGAAAGCGGCTAGAAAACTGGATTGAATACAAGCCGACATTCACTTAGACCTGCAGTGTGTACACACCGGAGAAGAGGTCAGAAAGCTTCCTAATTTTTGTTTTTTTTGTATACCCATATTAGAGACACTGTCAGTCGCTTTATTCAAAAAAACTACCGGAGATGGTGCAGTTTGAGACCCACAGTTTGCTAACTGTGAGACAAAACTATAAAATTGTGTTTCTAGGATTACACCCTTTTTGAAGATTAAACTGGTGTTATCTTGGCACTAAAATGAATCTTGGCTGATGAAAACTGTTCTTTACATTTCTCACATTTCCTATTGTTGACCAGTCCAGACAGAGGCTTTTGAAGTGAGACAACCCTTCTAAGATGAATCGTGTCCTACCGACCTTCCCGCTGTAAGCAAAACAACCTAACATCTGTCCCAACAGATGTTCCGAAATTTTCACTTGTGCCTAATTATTCGCAAGTCTCTACCCCAATGAAAAAAACGTTTACTAATGACAAGCAGTCTTGAATTCATAACAGGAAACTGCAGTTTATGAGACTCATGGTGGATGACAGTTGCTGTACCCAAGTTCCCCAACACATGGTCATCATACTTTGTGCAGCAGTGCAGTTGAAGACCAACATGAAGCTCAGGAAATATAAGCATACAATAGTATCCAAGGCACGTAGGCGAAATCGTTATTCCCTATGTTCCACCGTCAAGATTATGAGAATACTATCAAACAACAAACGGCAACAGATGAGTATAAGATCACCTATAAACAATGAACCAGACTTTGTGCCTTGTAGAGCACAACTTGGGAATATTTTTATGGTCAAACAGAGATATTAGACTCGTGTTTATTAGGAACTCTACCATCCCATTTAACCTCGTATAAACTCCAAGATGTGCAGCAGAATTTTAGAACGTCGATCTGCCTCTACTGTGCAACTCAACGCTGTAAGGATAACGCTCCTCGTTGAATCCATCGCACGTAATTGAAAAGGATTTACTTGTTGATTTGATATTGCAAGTGTCCTTTCATTGGCGATATTTTATATGGCTGTACTCACGCACGCTGAATATGTAAGAACTCGATAAAGTTTGACATTTAAGGCACGTTTGCTTGCATCGATGTTATCTTATAATTATCTTGTATCGCTGTTCAGAAACACCTTTCGCCAACAACACGTCCGTTTGTACTACATCAAAAATACTCAGAGAATGCGCATAGTCGCGGCGGGGGAACAAAATAATCAGCGTGAATTGTCCGAGCTCAAAGTTCTCGAAACTCACCCGTGATTATGACCAACATTCCGGTAGTGTAGATCGTATTTCAGTAGTATTGGTACACCTCAAAAAAGCTAAATTCATCTTTCGGGGTGAAAATGACAGATTGTTTAAGCAATTAAAAAACGGTATGTCAAAAGCAAAACAGTCGGTTGTGACAAGAATAATGGAGATTTATTGGCATTCGAGTTTGGGAGCTGTCCGGTAGTGCAAAGCCAACTACAAATGAATCAAATATTCATTTTAGGACAGCCAACAGACAAAGATCAACGCGAAAAGAAAACAACCAAGACCTCTCAAAATGTTTCCAAAAAGACGTTGGACGGATTGTTCCGTGGAACTGGTACTTAAAACAGTTTCGCAGAAAAACCACTACTTTGAGTGTAAGACAAATTGTAAAATTACACAACCCCAAAATGAAGCGCTCCCGTTTGATTCGGGCTGTTCGCAGTTGAATCGTATTCTCACCAAATTTGTTGCATTCAAGCAACCAACCAGAGCATAACGAGAGGCAGAGCATAAGGTCACTCGAATAATTTGATTCTAGCAGGACAGCTTTTGTTGAATACAGCTGGATATACACTTGAGACCAACACTGACGTTGTATATCTGCTCTTCATCGCTGTTTACCTCAGGACCAATTTTGTTCCGTAGCATGTTTGCTGTTAAACAAGGCCGAAAAGTGGAAATAAGCCCCATTACAAAAAATTGTCAGCAAACAATCTGGTTACAGCCTATTGAAAGATAATGATAAAATAATTCACCTATAAAACAGAAGCGCGCTCATATGACAGTGTAATCACACCAAGAAGATCACGTAGGCATTGGTCAAGACAAAGCAGCAGGGGTCACGGTAGGTTCGTAGCGTCAAACCAAAATTCGTGGGTTTTATCTTACATCAAAATCTAATCACCCGGCCAGATTTTACGGACGAGGCAGCCTACTTTTTCTGAGGCGGAATTCCACATGGGTCCTGCTTTACCGCTCGCAGTCAGGTGCTGCTATGTCCGATAAGCCCATCCCGCACATGATTGGCCAGAAGTTCGGGACGCTTACCGGTCTGGCATCAAACCGAGATTCTAATTGGTCGAGAATCTGCACCCAACAGCCAATCATGACCTAGTATTGGCCGAATGCCTGTTGCCATTGGCGCATCCAGAAGGCGTCAGAACTTCCAGAAAGTTGTCGCTGTTTACACTATGTATTCGCAACGCCATACCTATGTTCTTGTCTTCGTTTTTGGCGTTAATATACCTTGTTCACCTTTGGTGACGTGAACGCTAGCTCGGGAGGCCCAAACCGATAACTAAACCGAGGAAAATACCATTACTGCATATTGTGGACTTCATCGTCTGACAGTCCTCCGAGAAGTTGGCTGAGATACGTTGGCCATGCATTGGTTATCACAAAACATATAGGTCAAACCTTGTCAATTCTCAACATTTTGCGTGAATTCATTTGCTTCGTCGCAGAACACGAGACGCTGGACAAACTGGTTTCCTTTCTTGATTATAGTAGCCATGATCACTCCAAAAGCACCGTTCTTTGCAACCCAACGCAAAAGGGGTATCTCTATTTTCACTAAATACACTCATTTGTATGTCAATCGGTTCTTCATCGGAGACGTATCTTAATTTTTCGTTTATGATATTCATTTTAATCTATCGTAAAAACCAAATCGATATGGAAATGTGTGTGTTTGTCGGAATCTGTCCAATTCGAGTTCCATTCGAGACCTGTGCCAACTGGTGAGCCTCCAGAGGAACGAAACCGATCGTGGGTTGTGGAGGAGTTTTCAGCGACCTTGTTAGTAGTTTGCCTCGTGAAAATATGACGCAACATCTTGAATATAATATCAACTGAAACATTAGGTAGTCTTTCTGCAGGATATTCAGTTGAAGAATATAATAATGAACGAGAGATTTTGTTGAGTTTTTCGAAAACCCCATTGATATGCAAATGAGTTCATGTGTCAAAATCCGTCCATCTGGTTGACGGCCACCCAAAGACAGTGCCTACCTGATGAACCAATAGTAGGCTGTCAAAGATTTTTCAGCAACCGCGTATCTAATTTCCTTTATGAAAGGCGTCTATCCTTCTTTAATTCCGTTTACCATCTAGATACCAGGCGAGCGATAAACATTGACTAAAAATATCAAGAAACAGTGGATAATCAACAGGTTCTATCAAACACGTTTCAACAATCGAATCGGAATACAGGAGCCGGGCCGAGGGTTGATCCAGTCGACGTAGTGCAGTTTTCGTACAAGCATCACACTTTTAAAAGTGTTCACTGCGTGCCCTAGGGCTTCACCAACCGCCCGATGACCATATCAACATCGTCTTAAGGTCTGGTTGCCCCAATGACATCTAAATTGAGGAAAGCAGATGAGCGATCAACGGGCCCTAAACGACATTCCTAGCCGTTCCAAGAAACGGAAGCAAACTGAACAAATTGGGGTGTAAATCAACTATCGCAATGCGTACATTATTTTTTACCTGATGAACCAATCGTAGGCTGTCAAAGATTTTTCAGCAACCGCGTATCTAATTTCCTTTATGAAAGGCGTCTATCCTTCTTTAATTCCGTTTACCATCTAGATACCAGGCGAGCGATAAACATTGACTAAAAATATCAAGAAACAGTGAATAATCAACAGGTTCTATCAAACACGTTTCAACAATCGAATCGGAATACAGGAGCCGGGCCGAGGGTTGATCCAGTCGACGTGGTGCCGTTTTCGTACAAGCATCACACTTTTAAAAGTGGTCATTGCGTGCCCTAGGGCTTCACCAACCGCCCGATGACCATATCAACATCGTCTTAAGGTCTGGTTGCCCCAATCACATCTAAATTGAGGAAATCAGATGAGCAATCAACGGACCCTAAACCGCATTCCGAGCCATTCCAAGAAACGGAAGCGAACTGAACAAATAGGGGTGTGACTCAACTATTGCAATGCATGCATTAGTTTTCAACATATAAGCCATCTTCGATGATGTTCGTAAATTGTCGCTAAATCTCGACTCATGCACACAGAGCTGTTGTGCAAAATCAGCTAATATTTGAATGAGTCTTCGTGAGATTACACGTCTGATGGCGTAGTCACCTCTTAATTGGTCCGGCCTACGTCACCATATAAGGGCAATTCAGGCACGACAGTCCGCACGTGACACGATAACCCAGTCCGATAGTCACGTGTGAAGGATGCACATGACGCAACACACGTGCAAGCGGTAGAACATGCGATATTCCCACCAATCACATATGATTATGCTGACCAGTCTTTAACTAGCCATATTTTTAATGATTTACTAACACCCATTGGTTCCTTGATAAGTACGATCATTAGTGGTCAAAACGTTGGACAAGTTTGGTGAATATATCCACCCTGAACCAACACTATGAACCAAAACTCTCAAACTTTTTAAAGTTCAATTCAGAGATGACTCATCACGATTTGCTAACACCACTGGGTTCTCTCACCAAACCAAACATGTTTAGACAGTAGACTGAGCTGTAAACATCGTTCAAGTGTAGCAGCCTTCCGGTGCCTAGCTGCCATGCCACCCGAGGGAAGCATGAGGGCTGGGATACTGCCAGGTTGCCCAAGCCTCGACAGGGGAAGTAGAGAGGCAGAGGTCGGCTCAAACCACGGACCTTCTGGCTAGTAAATTCGTGCTCTAACAAATTGGACCATCTCGCCCTCGAGCCATCCCTCCGAGCTGCAAACATACTATAGATTCGAAAATAGCGAAATTGTTTGAAGAGACTAAGTAAGTTTGAGAGAGATCATGAAATCCTAGGAACGGGGATTGACGGCGAACGCTTTGGTTATCATTTATTCTTTTTTCTTCTTCATTCATTCACTCTCATTTTACTGACAATCTTCTTATTTCATGATATTTTCTGAGGATGACCAGATAAGGAAGAAGACCAATTTAAGGGAAGTGGTCCGTCATTTCTAAACAGACAATATTGCGCAGATTCACTGGCCTGGGTTGATTGGATGCCTAACACATCATTGCTTCCAACGAAAGAGCATATTCGCAGTCAGAGGGCAAAACTTTATAGGACTGGAATAAACATCCTTGCCTTATCTATTCGTGTCATGCTATACAGGAAAGTGTACACCGTCAATATCTTTGTAATGTACTACACATAAGGTTGCTGAAAATCCGTCGACAGCCCACGACTGGTTTCGCCCTTCTTGGGGCTCATCAGGTAGGCGTAGTCCCCGGGTTTCCGTCAACCTTATGTTTTACTTGAAACTAAATTGCACGAAGTTTGCGAATATACACTCATTTGCAAACTAATTTGGTTTTTTCGAGAGACTCACCTGGAACTCACCTGAGCCCCAAAAAGAGCGAAACCGGTCGTGGGCTATCGACGAATTTTCAGCAACCATATGTGTAGTACATCACAAATCCAATAAACAGTTGGTCATTTCGCGTCCCATCGCCAGACTCTGGTCACCATATCCTCGAAATAAATCGTGTAACGAGTTTGAAAGTCACCTGTTAGGATCTTTTGCTCAAAGTAAGCCATCGAACTGCTCAAAGAGCCAACTGCGGGGAAATGTGTTTCAGGAAGTCTGTTCGAGGTACACCACCTATTTTGCTTACCAGTTGAATCAAATCGATACGGCAATTAATCTTCTCAAGAATTTATTGCAATAGTGGGAAATTGCCCGACATCCGTTTTTCCTTGAGCATCTCGATGAAAAAATCTACTCGAACGGTATGCTGATTTGATTCAAGCGCGTTGTAGAGATTAATTTTGGATAAAACCATCCACGTTTTTAATTAGACAATCTCGTCGAATAAATCGATTGTCAAAATGGCACATGTCCACAATGATTTACAGGACATCAGTGAACGGAAGCTACCTGGGAACTGTCTATCAAACTGAAGAGTACACGAGATATTCCGGTCAAATGAACTCATGTCTTTCATCAAAATCTTGAGCACACCAGTCCAGAATCTCTTCATTGTTGGGCGAAATGAGAGACGCACCAAGCGCTTGAGTAACAGTGTTTGCTGCAACTTTGATCGCAACTGTTGAGAAAGACCACTATTTGGTTTCAGTATTTAGGATTTTCTAATGTACTTACGAGTTGAGTTGAGAATACGAAACATCACAGCATATTGAGTATTTTGTGTTATGTTACGAAACTTTCGCCCTGTGATAAACCATTGTTGTGACAGAATTGTTCATCTCATTTTAAGGATCTCCGTCAATTAGTTTGAGCAGCAGGATTGGTCACACAGAGTCCACAACTCGCCCCCATGTACCCAGCGATAAATTTTCCGACCAAGAGATAAATTTCCCGACCAACTGTTTTCTGATTAAACTGGAGAGAAAAAGTCTCGTTTCACTTGGAAACGGACGATGGTCTCGGCCAGTTCCAAGATATTTACGCAAGCATTATAAATGCAGTATTCGAAGGGTCATTCAAACGGTTTCTGACAAACGACGTGGCATGATTTGTGGTCAGAACACATGCGAAAAGTCGATTGCACCCTCTAGTTGCTTCGGATGAATTTCTGGCAGTAAGAGCCCCCAGTTGTGCTGAGATCTCTAAGCCGTAACGCATTCATTCAACATTAGGGAAAAACAAACTGTCCCCGATTAAAAGGGCCGAGTGAGGTCTTTAGCCTGTGACTAAGCCGGAGTGTAACATCTTCAACGCAGTCAAAGAGAATGTTTTCCCAGGCAATTTACGGGCTGGTGGGCGCTTGACTGGTCAAACTTCTATGATACTTGACTGGTCAAACTTCTAGCCTAACAAGATCTAGGAAACATGAAACACGTTTACAGTTCTCCTCGAATTTGAGAGCCCTTTGTGGAGGAGAATTCACAAGTGCTGGATACCAATGATTAAGCTTTTGGGGTTGCGCGAAAATTTTGCGTTTTTTTACATTTTTCGCCGTACGATACGAAGTGATATTCTTGTCGTGACACACT